AAGGATCGCAGAGGGACTTGCAGTCTTTCCTCCTAGGGCGGACTGCGGAGGGTCCCATGCAGAACTTGAGGGAGCCGGCAAAGGAGAAAAAAAGTCGGTGGCACTAGGAGGAACCTTAATATCCTGCCCGCTTCAAAAAGAGCTTTTGTCCTCTTGGACCGCCTGCATTTATTAGACGCCCACTGCGTTCCGGGCGCTCTGATGTGAGTCTGCTGCGCTTCGGAAATTGAGCGTCTTGGAAGAGAAGAAAGAGACACTATTCCCTCACCGAGGGCTCCAGCAAATTCCCCAGGGGGATTTGCTATTGGTATCGTTGCCACCGCCATCCAGAATTCACCTGGTGAAGTAGATCAGGTTACCTGCCTGCTCTGGCTCTTTTTCCAGTCGTAGCGCTAGTAGAAGAGAATGACAGTGCCTTAAAGGATTGTTAACAAGATAACCCTGGAGAGCAATGTATAAAAAGGTTTTCATACTTTCTATATTGCCTTTAGGAGGAAAATAACCAAATAAAAATAAGTATACCTTACCCTTTGACCTCACAAGTGCATTCCTAGTCATTTATTCTTGACAAATAACTTGGTGGGGGGACTATATACAAAAGATGTTCTTTACAAAGTTCAGTTAGTAACAAAAGAAGGTAAATGAGTGAATTACATCAAGGGGAGGAACTTTTATGTATCCATATTATATGGAAGTTACAGATAGAAAGTTTAAAAGAAAATGAAATGTATGCGATCCTGCAAAGGCGCCTTGCTGGTGCACTGATTAAGCACTTGGCTGTGGTTGTGGTCTGCCATCAATTGTTAAGGGTTTCCAAGGCTGCAGAAAGCCTCATCTTTCTCCTGGGAAGCCACTAGTGGGCTTTAACCACCAACCTGATAGTTAACCCTAACTGCAGTCAGGGGTTCCAACCCAGTTGCAGTTCCTCAGGAGAAAAGACCTGTTGATCTGTTCTGGTAAAGAGTGTTCTTAAGTGCCACTGAGTTGGTTCTGACTCATAGTGACCATGTGTAGGGTTTCTATGGAGCATCTAGAGGGTTTGAACTGCCGACCTTGTGGTTTGCTGTCCTGTGCTGATCCTACAGCGCCACACCAGGAGTTTAGTGAAGATTGTTGTTGCTGAGTGCCATCGAGTCGGTTCTGACCCATAGTGACCCTGTATAGGGTTTCCAAAGAGCAGCTGGTGAGCTTACAGCCTTGGAAGCCTTATGAGACAGTTCTATTCTGTCCTATGTTGTTGTTAAGTGCCATTGAGTCCATACCAACTCAGTGACCCTGTAGAGAGGGTGGGTTTGAACCACCAAACTTTTGGTTCGCAGTCCAGTGCTTATCTTACAGCACCACACTAAGAGTCCATTCTGTCCTATAGGGTTCCCTAGATTGAGTTAGAATCAACTCAAAGGCAATGAGTACGGGTATACCTGCGAAAATCTCCATGCACAATGAAAGGCCTTCCTCTGTTCAATGTGACTGAGATAAACAATGTTTTCCTACATTCTGGGCTGCACGTAGGCACCAATATTAGAGGGCATAACCTTGTTCACGCTATCAAGTGCTTCATTAAATTTGTCCCTGGCGGTTGAACATGCCAACACTTGGTCTGAGAACATGGGTTTCCAACCCAGGTACCACTTGGTGATATCCTTATAATTTGGGCTGTTACTGAGCCAGGAGCACTGCACCTGAAGCTACTTGGGGACGAAGTGCTTTTCAAGAAACGTTACCAGGTTGGTGGCAGAGAACACCTCTCTCAGTCAGTCACCCAACCAAAGGCTGATAGGGGTTAATGACAGAGTTCACCAAGATGCATGCACAGCTTGGATACAATGTTCTTAACCATCAATGTTTCCTAGGAGCCAGGAGTGAAAACATCTTTCCAGGGCTGGAGGATGAGCTTGGCAGAGGAGACTCTGGAGCACCGCTTCTACACTGTATCTACATCTGCTTGCTGCAGATGGAGGAACACAGTGGCCCCACCTAACCTGCATGAGGAGAAGCCAAGAATGAATTGGGGAAAGAATGGGAAAAGTGTCAATCAATGGATTCCAGTTTTTCACTTCCTTCTGTGGCTTGGGGAAGGCACACTGGTCCAATGTTATCTATGATCCATACAAGCTATCAAAAAAGTTGCCCATTGGATCACAGTTCCTTGGTTACCACTGGGCAACAATATTTCAAACACAAGGTATACAAACTTCCTATATCAGCTGGCAAAAGGCATCTATCTACCAAAAGGTTCTGCCCACCATAGGATAAGAGCTGGTTGTTCCCTCTGAGGCTTGTCCACTTGGGAATTTTGGTACCATGAGGGCACCTACTTCTTGAAGTATTCCGTCATGAGTGAGTGAACAATGGCCACAGTGATGTCCACCCAGTCAGGCAGCCTATCCTCCTCATCGTGCTTGTCCCGGAGGGTTTCAACGATGTGGACACATTCATCCATGATGAGAGTTGCTCTAAGTGGGTTGCATCCAGGCCCACACTCTTCCACCATCTCCAGGACCTTGCTGAGATTGGAGATGAGCCTCTCCTCATAATCCATGACCTCAAACATCTTCTACAGCTCATGGGAGAGCTTGACAACTATGTTCCACCTATACTGTTCATTCTGATGAGCTCCTTAAGGTTGATGAGCAGCTGCAGGTTGTGCTCCCTCTCAGGAAGATGAAGCCCAGGGCCTTGGCCTCTTCGTCTGGAGGTAATCGTTGTTGTGACTACTACACAGCCCATCCTCATGGACATATGTGAATGATCTGGTGATAGCTGTAGTAGACTTTCTGATACTCACAGCATCCTATAGAAAAATGCATGGTATTCTTCCAAAAAAAGTTCCCCAAAGTTCTTACCAGAGAGGTAAGAGAAGTACCTGTAATTTTTGGAAAAATAACACTTCTGCTCCTGGCCTGTCATGTCTATGACTTTGACCTAAGGAAACTCCTTCTGGAGAGCAGGGAGCTTTTTATTAACCTGCCCTTGAGCTTCAACTCTTCACTGCCTTGTAAGAGTACTTGGACTTCTTTTGGCTACTGCTGGAGACTTTACCCCACTGGTTCAGTTCCTTCTGAAACTTCTCTTCTGCATTTTTCTGAGTCAACCACAGGGATGTCTTGCAGGGACTGAGTAGTAAGCCCCCCCAAACCCAACACCCACCCACCCACCCCCGCGCAAAGTTCCTTGTTCTTTTCTCTGCATGACTTCACTTGGTTTACTTATATCTTGTGCATTCTTCCTGAAGCCCCTTCCAGGAACACAGCCCATCTTCTGAAGACACTTCTCTCCAATTTATACCGAGTGTCTTTTCCTGCAACCAAAGTCCACTGCAGACTCTTGCAAAAATTTTCCAGTTTCGTGATTTTAAATTGCCACTCATTTTTAAGTTCTTTGGTCTGAAATCCTTAGAAAAGTTGTCCTGCTTAACAGATTCCTCTTGGTCATCAGACTTCCAACTCTTCCTATCTGCCACACCTTTCCTGAGCCCCAAGACGATTAAGCTGACTATTGAAGTGTTATCGCAGGCCCGTTTGCTTCTAAAGCTGGGCCACTCTCATCATCTGAACTGAGCTCTGTTCACACCCTGTAGGTGGCCTCTTCCAGGTCAAACAGTTGCATTATCAGCTAAGATTGAATTTGTTCGGGAGATTTGTTAGTGCCATTGCGTCGGTTCTGACATTAACAACCATCTCTATAGGGTTTCCAAGGAGCGGTTGGTGGGTTTGAACCATCAACCTTTAGGTTCAAACCAACTTTGTGATCTAGTGCTTATCCTACAGCGCCACACCAAGACTCGCACAGCAGGTATTCTCAAAAAGTTCTCCAGCTCATCCTTGCCATTAATCCATAAAGCCTTCCCCATCCCATTACAAAGGAGCTCTGGTAGTGTAATGGTTATGAATCGGGCTGCGAGCCGCACGGCCAAGAGTTCGAAACTACCAGCCGCTTCGCGGGAGAAAGATGAGGCTTTCTGCTCCCGTAAAGATTTACAGCCTCGGAAACCCTGTACAGGGTCGCTATGAGTCAGAACTGACTCCACGGCACATAACAACAACAATCCCAATACATCTGGGACAGTGACAGGCCAGCTATGCCCTGGCTTCAGATTGTTCCAAACTCATCCAGAAATACTTAGAGGTGACTGTTCTCAAAGGAACTTGGGAGTCTTCTCTAAGGTCTCCCCGGCTTTGCTTACCATTCCTATGTCAGGCTATCAAAGACAGGTTCCCATCGCTTCCGTCAGCGGGAACCCGGATGTAGCAAGTTGTGGTGCCGGAAATGACATCACTCAACAACGGCAGTGTCGCACTCACTTCCATAGCAGCAAGAAAACGTGTCTTCTTTTAAATGGTTAATAGAGTA